GTAAACAAGCGGCTGTGTGGTGCTCAGTTGCTGGCTGAGGTTAAACCATGATGAACCCACCTGGGGTTTCCTGCACACCGCGGGTGCCTGTCCTGTGCCAGCGCTGTTACGTGCAGGGTGCAGGCAGCACGGCTCCCGTGGCAGCCTTGGAGACTCTGCAGCCCTGGTCTTCATTCATGGCAACCCCTGCCCCATGGTTACCCCGTGTGCGGCAGGGCCGGGAAAACGGGTCTGGCTAGGAGCCCAGCTTTGAGCAGCATGAAAGATAACAAAAAAAGCCAGAGAGTAATGGAGGGCAGTGTCCATCCCCCTGACCCTCAGCTCATACCCGCCTTCTTCCCCAGTGCAGGGATGCAGTTATACACATCCTGCCTCCCTGAGATGTCAGCTGTTTGTACCCATCCCCACTGCACACTGTAATTAAATCTGGCCGAGCCCCTGTGATCAAGGCAAGGTTCCACCTTGCTGTGTTTCAAAACATAAATCCCCTTAAGCACGCATATCACAGCAGCACAACGTGCCCTCTCCGCTGCGTGTGGCTGTGCAAGACTGTCCCTGGGTTTTGAGGCCACTTAGCCAATGCCAACACCCTGCCGCATCGGCATGCTTCCAGCACACCCCCACACTGCCCTGGCCGCTCCATCAGTACCTGGACATGCAGGGATACATGAGCTGCCCCTTGGCTTCTGGGCCATCCGGAGCTGATCAGCATGTCCCACCCTTGGTGGAGGCTGTGATGGGAAGGGATGCATGGGGGATTCACCACAGCAGCAGCATCCCCAGGCACCGCACACGTGTGCTCACACCACCCTTCGCACAGAGGCTGTCTGTGCCCATGCACATCACACGAGCTCTCACTAAAACCCAGCACGGTCACAAAAAGTGGTACCTCTAGAGATGAACGTTCAGCTGAAAACACAAAATGAGTGATCTGTAGACAAAAGCTGTGATTTAACAAGCTGGGTCGGAAGGACAGAAATATCTCCACACAGCACTGGCCGTAGCACCTTGGGCTGACACCTTCCCACCTCCCCCGGGCCCCGTCCTCAGCTCCCTGCCTTCAGGCTGACCCAGCTGCGCTCAGAGCAGCCCTGCAAAGACTGGGGACAAGCAGGGCCCACAGGGGAAGCAGGGCCTTGGGGGGGGGCATGGTGCTGCTCACACCTGTCTGAAGCAAGGAGGTGAAACCTTCTGTTTCGACCTCCCAGACAGAAAACCCCACTAGAATTTTCTGGGGAAACCTCCAACTTGGACAAAAGCGAATCTCTGAGGACTGTTTGGCTTTAGTCCGTTCGGCTCTGGAGAAACCAGCCTGGCTCTCCCGTGTAACTCCCAGCCACTCTGGCACCTGCCTTGGGATGTCCCTCTCATTAATACCCTGCTCTGATCTCTCCTGAGCTGAACTGTGGACCTGAGAGGTCAGGGGACCTGGGCTGTGCAGGAAAACATGGGCAGAGCTTTGCACACCCCGGCCAGCCCCCACTGAGGCTGCTGGTGGTCAGAATTTGGCAACGCTGGCAAAGCGAGCATGGGTAAGGTCCAGGACAGACTGCCTGTCCTGCTCCAAACAGCACTTTTGAGGTGTCCAGGACACTGTGGTTGGACCCACAGCTCACATACCGGTGCTCTGCTAAATACTGCAAAGGCCGATCTTTGTCCTGCAGCAATCGTGTCACTGCTGAGCACCTCAGAGAGGGAGACATGGACACAGGCAAGAGGAAAAGGTGGGGAGAAAATGCGGATTAGCAAAGGCTGATAAGGACATGACATGTCCCTGGCAGAGGTCTGGGTCATGAGGAGTATTGGCAGGTCCTGTTGCAACTAATTACAAAGCTCAGCTCATCAGGCAGTGAGCAGCGAGCATCAGCCCAATCTGCAGCATTCAGAGCAGGTGATTGAACAGGTAGGGTGGATGTGCCAGGGCAGGTCTCTCCAGAACACAGCCACCATGTGTCAGCAGCACCTGCCGGTGAGCTGCCCCTGGCAGGACATCCGGAGATGGAACCAGCCCCAGCACCACCAAACCTATCCCAACACGCTCCCTGTTTGCCCTGGGATAACAATAGCAGCTCGCTCCACCACGGTTAGTACCCATGACTCACTGAGGATCCTGCAGGCTCATGGGGGACCCAAGAGATGTTTGAGAAGACACATCCATCCCACCAGCTTCTAATCCCACCATCATGACTGCGTACTCACCCTTCTCTCCTATATCCTCACCAACACTACTGCTCTACACCCCAACAGCATTGTCCCTGAGTTTGGGAAAAGAGAGGAGGGCAGAGGCTGGACCCAGCTCTCAGCCTCCACGGCTGGAGAATGACTGTGCACACCAAGGAGTGATCTCCTGCGGGAGATGTCCCACCCTCATGGCCCCTTCTCATTAAACCCTGGCAAGAGCCACTGAACTTGCTGAAGGCTTTGTTGATGAAGGAAGTGCCAAGGGCCATCGCCACGTGGGTGGGAGGAAGCCGCTGGTGCCCACAGGACTGGGGCAGCTCTCTGGCATCTGGCGAGAGCTGCCTGCTGGGCTGGCACGCTGCTGCGCGGTTCACCGGCCCAAGGGCTGGATTTCAGCAAGGCAAAAGTTCAGTCCCGGCATCTGCTGTAAGAGACAAACTGAGTGCTGCTCATGTGACTGGCCAGGTCCCCCTGCAGCCAGGGGGACCTCTGTTGGCTTCTGGTCCCACTGCAAATGTCGGAGGCGTCCCCAAAAGGCCTGCAATGTGACAGGGCAGCCATCAACACACCCATCCCGTGCAGAGCAGGGAGCTCCATCGCAGATATTCCCATTGCCAAGCACTCTGGGGTCTCTGCTACCCTGGCACATCTTCCCCCTCGGAGAGAGCTCACCCTAGAAGAGGTGTTTGGGCACAAGGATGGACCTCTGACCTTAGGTGCAAACTGCAAGGCCAGCACATAACACCCCTGGATCCAAAAGCCTTGTGACTCAGGGCATGAAAGAAGAGCAGGAGAGCCCAAGGATGTGACCAGCACCGTGGGGCCCTGTAGCAGCAG